CACGCTTGTTCTACAAACTTAAATATGTACCGTAAATCCTCTAATACAGGCCCGGGCCTGTATTTGACTCAAGCTCATCAAGCTCCAGGCCTTTATTGGAAGGAGGGCCAGTATTAGAGGCAGGCCTCTATTTCTATTTGAGCAAAATGAACTAATGGTTCGCTGGAGTTTTTGACAATTAAAATTGCGCCCACATTTTCAAAGTTAAACACATTTCTTTTAACAACGGTAGTTCCTGCTTCAGTCCTCTCCCCCCTCCCCCTGCTTCAGCCATCTCCCCCCTCCCCCTGCGCAGCGGCCGCAAACTCACTGATGCGCCTGCAGCCTCTCGGAGTTCCTGCTGCTCTAAACATTAAAATAATTATTTCATTTTCTGTTCCTCACTTCTGATGACCTTCAATGGTGTCTGTTTGTTGCAACAGCAGGTACAAAAACTAACTTGTTTTTATTTGACTATTTTTCTGTCCTGCATGTTTATTATCTTCCTGCATCTCCTCTCAATCCTAAAGAGAAAGTGCTACCTGGCTTCATATATATTCACCTCATGAGTTACCTTTGAACTGCAGTTCTAAAAGATCTATCGACCGCAAAAACAGCGGAGCGCTCGCTGTTTGGCGGCTGTATCAGTGATCAGTGCGTCGGAGGACAAGGTGATGCGCGCAGCGCCCCGCTCCACAGCATGCAGCGAAACGCATCAGGCGCAAATAAAAGACAGAAAACATTAAAGGAAATGAACTGACATGAACGATCGCGTGTTAAATTAGTTTTTGAGGTGGCGACACCTGATTGTTACTGTGGCCGTGCTCAGGAGGCAGATCTACCGACCGCGAAAACAGCTGAGCGCTCCCTGCTGTGATCTGTGCGTCGGAGGACAAGTTGATGCGCCCCGCTCCACAGCAGCGATACACATCAGGCGCAACTGAAAGACAGAAAACATTAAAGGAAATGAACCGACATGAACGATCGCGTGTCAGTACCTACGGTCCGGCACAGCGCGTTGCTGATCACAGAGAATGTGATCATACGATAATTCAATAGGGAGCGTGGTTTCACAGACGCGGAAGTGAGAGCGTCGGTGAAACGCCGGCTGATCTAGGAAACCCCCAAGCGTTCGAGCGTCAACGAAGTGACACGGAAATGCCGGGCTTTCCAGAAGTAAGTAAGATAACTTACTATGAGCTGATAGTTCGTTGGATTGATCGGTAGGTTGGAATCTCTGATCGTGAATCTGAAGAAACGATGACTGAGTGGTGAGCTGGAAAGGCGACTTCCATTTATAGCCGCGGTTTGTGACGTAGGTGCGACGTGAAGGGAATCCCCGCGAGGGGCATGCTGGGAGTCCCTACTTCGCGGATTTTCACCTATCGCGGCCAGGTCTGGAACGCATCTACCGCGATAAACGAGAGATTACTGTAGTTCATACACCCCCTACTGCTGCTCCCCAGAGTGTTCTGCAGCATAATCAGCACGTTCTCTTTGAACTTGATAGTGTAATGACCTGGTTGGGGTTGTAAGCCAGGTGCATTCTGGGTATTGTGTTATATGTGTTTCCTATCGTTCTGCTGGTTCCTATGTGCTGATTTGTGTGTTGTGTGAGTGTTATGTAAGCCACAGGGAAGGTGATGTGTGTTCTGTGGAGCGGGTTGAATTAGCATGGTTAACTGACACCGTGACTCTGTGTGGTAGGAGCGTGATAGAGGATTGTGTCTGTAGCGTTACAAAGCATTGAAGAAAAAGCCTAAAATAGGTCTGCGTGAACTTCTACTGCCTCTTGCTGGTTGATTTGGGGACTACAACCCTGCCGCTGGGTCGCTCGTACTTACTTGTTACCACATTCCATCCGGCCACAATAAGAGACCGGCCATTATTTGCCTCCGCTGACTCCAACACCGGCCAGAATTGGAGACCCGGCCTTTAATTGAATACCGGCCTGTATTGGGGGATTTACGGTATGTCAAATGTGGTCATAAATGATGCAGGAAGATGAGAGACACAGGACAGGAAAATAGTTCAATAAAAACAAGAAAACAAAACAAAGTGTTGAAAACTAAAATGTAGGTAGATTTATGTCCACTACACACATGTAATATTTATACATTTGATACAATTCAGATCACCTTCAAAACTCAGTCACACACCCAGGGCCGTTTCAAGACATTTTGGGGGCCAAGGCAAAATGACCCCCCACCCCCCACCCACACCACACCACACACACACACACACACAAAATAACATACAAGAAAATTAAAGAGAATTTAAGGTGAAGCGCTTGCACATACTGTGTTATTGTGTGGTTTGTTCTGTGTGTAGAAACACGTTCAATTTGATTGACCGTCAGAAGGTGGGAAAGTGCCCCGCTCCCACCCAGCCCCCTGATTGGTTGAGAGAGGTCAATCATCTTCTGGCTAAATGGATTTACACACCCTCACATGTGAGACATCAAATCGATCGGCTAGGCCTAAGGAATCCATCCATCCATCCAACCAACCAACCAACACACCAAACAACCATCCATCCATCAAACCAACCAACCAACCAACCAGCTCTATACACTTAAAACTCTATACACTTACAAATAGCAGCATAGCTGACATTTTAACACTAGTCAGAAGGCAGGAACCGCCCCCGCCTCCTTCATTGCTCTCTCATTGGCTGAGAGTTTTCAATCGTCTTCTGCCTAAAAGGAAATGTGCACCCACACGTATGGTACATCAATCCAACCTGCTTGGTCCCAGGAGTCTTGTATTAACTTGATATTGTGCTCTGTGTTTCCATGGCAACGTGCTTAGCAACAACATTTAACAACATTTTAGACACAACTGTATCAACATACTTTAATATAGAAATGTTATTCAAAGTGTAAATGACTCATGTGTTATTGTACATAGCTTTATTAATGCAGACTTCTGTCATCTGTTACCATGGCAACACAAGGAACTACAAATCACTTTAACCAAGTCTCATAGGAATGAATATAAAAAGCAGAATATTGAGCCATTAACAGACTCCTGTTTTTGAACTGTTTGTAATTAAAACTAGAAATAAGTTCAATTTCATTGACCATCAGAAGGTGGGAAAGTGCCCCGCTCCCTCCCAGCTCCCTTATTGGTTGAGAGAGGTCAGTCATCTTCTGGCTAGATGGAATTACACACCCACGCATGTGAGACATCAAATTGATCGGCTTGGCCTAAGGAAGCCATCTATCTACATGTAAATCCATACATGCTTCTATCTATCCATCCATCCATCCATCCAATAAACCATCTAACATCCATCCAACAATCCATCCGTTATTTCATTCATCCAACTCTTCATCCATCCCATATCAAATCTGAACTATTCTCATTCAAATGCCAGCTGTTTAACGTTTCGAATTTCGAGTTTTAAAAAAATGTTCAAACATTACAATTGTCTGCTGTTTAGCATTTTGATCCATTCTTCGCCTATATTCTGAGCTACATTACGCTTGTTGGTGATTTTTGCTTCTACATCTTTAAATACATTCAGCTCATTTTGACAGTTCTGCTTTGTTTCAGCTTCAGCTCAGCTGTTCAGCTGTCCAGCATTCAAACAGCATTTGTGCAACAAATGCAATTTTTCTAGTTATTATTATTATTATTTATTGTGGCAGAAGCTGGTGCGGTCCACCACAGAGAAGCTGCTCTAGCATGATGACTTTAATTATTCTACAGGTTATCGTTCAGCCATCTGACGCTGACGCTCCGTGTGTGTTTTTATTTCTGCAGTGAGACAAACTCACCTCACACCGTCCAGAGTTTGTTCTTCAAAGCTTCTATTAAATCCACCGTGTTGATGTATTTATTTCCTCTACGCTGCAGGAGTTAAAGTTCGGCAGACGTGTTTATATCTGGGTGGGGGAGGGGGGACTCGTGCTGCAGACAGACAGCTGGTGTGATCAGCTCTGGAAAGCCTTGATCACAATTTGCAGATCACGTTTATTTTTCACGGAGATCTGCCGCGGATTCCTCTTCCGTCGGCGTTCTAGGAATCGAAGCTAGGAATCGAAATAAAAAACGTTGAGCGATTCTGGGAAAAATGAGCAGTTGGAACCGGTTCCAATCGATGCTCGATGCCCAACCCTAATATTTCCTCATGACTGGTTATGAGAAACAGGTGAACAGTTTACCCCCACATCTTAATACCGCTCATTAGAACACATCTTCACAAATATCACAATATTAAACATTGGCTTGTAAAATTTCATTCATAGCTGCGACCATGTTCACATTTATCCTAAAACACGCAAGTACATAGGTCTAAAACAAAAACAGGAAAAAAACAATTACCTTGTGATCATTCTAGAACATGAAGTTTTGCTACTATTGCTACCTGCTTTTGTGGACTACATGGTGGGTCTCTGTTTGGAAGCAGTAATTTGTAGCTTATTTGTAATTTTAGATGACAACAAAAACTATCATCAGTTCAAGTCAGCTTATACAACAAGAAAAATACTGATATCCTGATTAAGACGAATGTGAAATGGCTACTTTAATTTACGCATTGATATTTTAAATAAAGCTTGTGGAAAGTTTGTCAGGCAACTTCAATAAATGTTTTAACCTATTCACTTAACTGATGTGGTGGGGAAATGGACTGACGACTTGATTTTTTTCCCTCCAAGACTCCTCCTCTAGGATACTCAGGTTACACACAAACTTTAAGTTCATTTTAAAACTAAGATAATTTTAATGTATTTAGGATACACAAAATACATGATTTTAATTTCATGTTCTTAGTGCAGGAAAAGCAGATCTGTTGAAACAACACAGACAAGCTGACATGAAGAAAACAAGTTTGTCACCGCTCTGTTCGAGCGGTTGCTGGGAGATTGTGTCGCCAAGATTTGAGAGAGAGCAGCAAAAAAATCTGCGAGCCCCGAGGCCAGACTTGTGGGAGACATTTTGAGGCTTTGGCTTTAGCTGAATGTTGTGGTGAATTTGGTGTTTTGAGCATTTCTTTGTCTGCCTTTTGGTCCACAGGAATTACATCCCTGAAGTGAGAATTATGTCCATTCCAAAACTCCGATACATGAAGGTTAGTGTCTGTTTAAGCACTGCTGCGTATGGAATATGCAGTTTTTGTTACATTCTTCTGAGTGATTTCAGTCCCGTCTCGTTTTCCCTGCACGGGCTGCATGTATGTTTTACGATTGGTTTGAAAAGGGACTATTTCATTGCACTATGCAAAATATACTTTTTGGAGCTTTTGACCATGTTAAAGGGGACATATTAGGACTTTTTAGGTAAACAGTTTTTAATAATGCATTGGACAGTTCTTAACCCAATTTTAGTAGTTTCTGCAATATCCTTAGATGTTTTCTCTGCTTGATGCATGCCAATGATTTGACCCTTCTCAAACAGACCAACATCTTTTCCAAGACCATAAGATGCGTCTTTCAGCATGGTTGTTTAGGAAATGAGAAGCAACCCATTGCACCAGTTAGGGTTAAAAAAGGTGTTGCCAGCTGAACGATAGTCGCCCAGGCAGTAATCATCCACTAGGAGGCTTGTGCCTATTTACTTTGTTAAATCCAGGTGGCAACTTACTTTTTTTGGCCAGGCAGTGCAATTCTATGGTCCAAACTTAACATGTTTATAAAGTTCTTTGTATAAAATCCTTTTTGCATAAAGTGATTTCAGCAGTTTTATTCTCGACAGCTTCACTGCCTTCCAAAATAAGCCAATTCTGGGCTCCATCACTATAAGAAAACAAGCTGGAAATGGCCACACCCACCCATCACCTGATTGCCTGGTATTTGCTGAGAAACTCCAGGAGGGGCTTAGAGTAGAGCTGCTGTTCCTCTAGCAGCAGCTCCCTCTTGCCTGTGAGAGGTGGTTCTATTTTACTTTCCCTGTTTGTGACAACACGGGGACTTTTTGAAATCGCTTGTTTTAGGCACTTAATTCCTCAAAACAAAACACTGTCGAGGAACAGATGGATGGGTTTTTTGTCGTATTTGGAGTGTTTATAGAGGCAGAAAAGAAACACATGACAGCACAAATGGAAGCAAAATGGTGTTTTGCTTCATGCATGTATTCTGCTCATTCAGCTGCAGCACCTCTTCAGGTTATAATAAAAATGATAGTTGTTTTGTTGACAACACTTTTTCTCATGAAGAGCAAGATGCTGACAAAGTGAAAATAAGTCTTTGGTGTAGGGGTGGGCGATATGGAAAAAATCATATAACTTTTTAATAAAAAGTTTTTTTGCAAAATTCACAATCACGGTTTTTTCCTAGTTTTACATTTGAGATGTTTTGAAAGTTATTTACCAGTAAAATACACCAATTTAAAAGTATACCCCTTCACAGAAAATAGGATGAAAGCTTTCAGAGTCTTTCCTACCTATCCATCCACAGTTTGAGAAGAAACTATCATTTATATAGCGCCTCTCGAGATAAAAGTCACGAGGTGCTTCACCAGAACAAACATTTAAACATTAAAAAAATATATAACTATGAGAAAAGCAAGCCGTACGGTTGGATGAAGAAAATCAGACTTACACGTTAACATGCACATCTAAGGTGTTCACACTGCAGGCTTTAAAGCTCAATTCAGATTTTTTGAGTTAATCAGATTTTATTTATTTATTTATTTATTGCGTGACTGTTCCTTCATGACTGAAATGCTTCACAGCCCCAACGCGACCCGCATGCACAGAAGAAAAGAAGTCACTGTGGAGTGGGAACCAGGAGAGACGGATATGTGATGTGAGAGCCTTCACTGACAGTTCATCAACAGGCTCAGGATTACACCCGTCAAGTCTCCCATTTTGGGCGGGAAACTGTTTTAAAAACTGTAAATTATTTTACACTTTATTCCCTTTTTTTTCCCACTAAAAATGTTCCGGTAATAAGTTCATTCATGGATAATTGTCAGAATGAGATGCTTTATTCCAGCAGCACCTTCCGCTCCCGTTCTCAGGCTCTCTTGTATTCATTCCTAGACAGACTCCTGAATCCCTCCGTCAGCGCTTCTCCTATGGCTACAGTCACACTGCAGACAAAAGGGCATCAATCCGATTTATTTTTCCTTCACATGCGACCCATATCTGTTTTTGTATGATGATCTGAACAGCACAAATCAGATTTTTTAAAATCTGATCCATGTCACTTTCATATATGGTACTTGTTCCGATACATGTCTGATGTTTTTGAAAGCGGCTGCAGTCTGAACGGTCATGTCACATTAAGTCTGTCTCCTGCGCCACGGAGACCGTGGAGGTGATTGTTGTGTGTTGACATTCCTGAGAAGTACTGACAGAAATATTTACCAGTCTGTCTGGACATCCTGTTAAGTTTAGGAATTAAAAATCCTGAGAACGGGAGCAGGAGGTGCTGCTGAAGCAAAGCATCTCACCGGTCTCCCATCTCCGTGAAGGGGGGGGGGGGGGGGGGGGTGTTCTCCGTGAATGTGCTTAACTCTGAACTGCTTCACACTGAACTTCAACTGAAGTTGAACTCAACTTTTCGGTGAAAAAAAAATTTAGGAGGCCGACAGAAATAAGGAGTAAAATAGTTAACAGTTTTTAAAACAGTTTCCAGCCCAATATGGGAGAATTAAAGGCTTTCACATCTCTGCCCCTCCTGGTTCTTACTCCACTGAGTGTGACTTCTTGTCTTCTGCGCATGCGCTTCGGGGCTGTGAAGCGTTAACACTGTCATAATGTGAACAGCCACACAAAAAAATACGATTTACTCAAAAAATCTGAATTGAGCTTTAAGACCAAAAGCAGTTCTTACAGGTGCTGGCCAGTAAATTAGAATATCATCAAAAGGTTGAAAATATTTCAGTAATTCCATTCAAAACGTGAAACTTGTACATTATATTCATGCAATGCACACAGACCAATGTATTTCCAATGTTCATTACATTTAGATTTGATATTCATAAGTGACAACTAATGAAAACTCCAAATTTGGTATCTCAAAAAATTAGAATATTCTGAAAAGGCTGAATATAGAAGACACCTGCTGCCACTCTAATCAGCTGATTTACTCAAAACACCTGCAAAGGCCTTTAAAAGGTCCCTCAGTCTTGTTTTGAAGGCACCACAATCATGGGGAAGACTTCTGACTTAACAGCTGTCCAAAAGACAATCATTGACACCTTGCACAAGGAGGGCAAGACACAAAAGGTGATTGCTAAAGAAGCTGGCTGTTCGCAGAGCTCTGTGTCCAAGCACATTGACAGACAGGCGAAGGGACGGAAAAAATGTGGTAGAAAAAGGTGTACAAGCTCTAGGGATAACCGCACCCTGCAGAGAATTGTGACGACAAACCCATTCAAAAATGTGGGGGAGATCCACAAAGAGTGGACTGCAGCTGGAGTCAGCGCTTCAAGAACCACCACGAGGAGACTCATGAAAGACATGGGATTCAGGTGTCGCATTCCGTGTGTCAAGCCACTCTTGAACAAGAAACAGCGCAAGAAGCGTCTCGCCTGGGCCAAGGACAAAAAGGACTGGACTGATGCTGAGTGGTCCAAAGTTATGTTTTCTGATGAAAGCAAGTTCTGCATTTCCTTTGGAAATCAAGGACCCAGAGTCTGGAGGAAGAGCGGAGAAGCACAGAATCCACATTGCATGAGGTCCAGTGTAAAGTTTCCACCGTCAGTGATGGTGTGGGGTGCCATGTCATCTGCCGGTGTTGGCCCACTCTGTTTCCTGAGGTCCAGGGTCAATGCAGCCGTCTACCAGGAAGTTTTAGAGCACTTCATGCTTCCTGCTGCTGACCAACTTTATGGGGATGCAGACTTCACCTTTCAACAGGACTTGGCACCTGCACACAGTGCCAAAACCACCAGCACCTGGTTCAAGGACCATGGTATCCCTGTCCTTGATTGGCCAGCAAACTCGCCTGACCTTAACCCCATAGAAAATCTATGGGGTATTGTGAAGCGGAGGATGCAATACGCTAGACCCAACAATGCAGAGGAGCTGAAGACGACTATCAGAGCAACCTGGGCTCTCATAACACCTGAGCAGTGCCACAGACTGATCGAGTCCATGCCACGCCGCATTACTGCAGTTATTGAGGCAAAGGGAGCCCCGACTAAGTATTGAGTGCTATACATGCACATTCTTTTCATGTTCATTCTTTTCAGTTGGCCAACATTAGAGAAACAAACATTTTTTCATTGGCCTTTAGAATATTCTAATTTTCTGAGATACCAGATTTGATGTTTTCATTGGTTGTCACCTATAAATATCAAAATTAAACGTAATAAACATCGGAAATACATTGGTCTGTGTGCATTGCATGAATATAATGTACAAGTTTCACGTTTTGAATGGAATTACTGAAATATTTTCAACCTTTTGATGATATTCTAATTTACTGGCCAGCACCTGTATATTACTTAAACACGCTGACAAACACAATAACAAGAAATATCTTCAGATTTGTTTGACAGACAAGAAAAACAGCAGCTCTGAATCATGACATTACATTTTTCATCATCGGTGGTTGATTTCTTCTTGGGTGAAGTAAAAAAAAAAACAGTAACTTGAAAATATGCCGCGTGACTGTTATGTCTAAAATAGTGTTGTCAAAAAAATCGATACCTAGATATAAATCGATACTAAAAGTGGTATCTAAATTAGATATTCCATCCCTGTGGTATCGATATTATGGATTATTATACACAGCCTTCTTCAAGTACACCGACACGCACGACAGCCAGATGCCGTAAAGCAGCCTCCGCCTCCCAGACAAACAGAAGAAGACGCCGCATGGCTACATTGCAATTTCCCATGCGAGTTGTCTCCGATCCAAGTTTTGTTAACAATGGCAACAGCGAATTTGGGAGGCGCTTCACAGCCCAACTTCATTAGCATACCAAGTCCGACACGTAGTTGTATATTCACGCTTATATGCTTAAAGGAAAACTCCCGTTTATTGCAACCCGTACTTAATTTCTAGCATGCAGTACGTTTGTTTACTCACGCTGGCAACTTTGGTGCTACTTGGATTCCCTGGGGTATTTAGATCCATCGGCGAATTGCCGTCAGCGTATATCCATATAACGGGTGCG